TTTATTTTCATCTTTTCGCCATTCTCAAAGAGCAAAAAACCGAAAAAATTGGCAAACCGGGGTGATTTTGTACGATAAACAATATCAAAAGCAGTCAAATTATTTATTATTTCTATATTGTATATTCAAAAGAAAAAACTATGGACTTGTATAGCTTATATAGTTTGGTCATGTCCGATCATTTTTTCGTATGCCTATCCGCACGGATTTGTGTCTGTCGTCGCGTTTTTGCTTCTCAAACCGACAAAAAAGGCAGACGGATGATTTGGGGCAATAAACATGCAGTCAAATTATGCTTTTGTTATAGGTCGTACAATTTGGTCGTTTCGGATCATTTTCGGTCCGCTTATCCTCACTGTATCGGATCTGTCAGACGAGTTTTGGCTTCTCAAACGGGAAAAAACAGAGAAAGTAGACATACCAAGATAATTTTGGGCGAATGGCCAAATTATGCTCTTTTTTTACATATTAAAAGAAATTATCCACTTGTTATAAAATCGTACAATTTGATTGTTTCCGACCATTTTTGGTTCGCCTATCCTCGCCGTTTTGGGTCTGTCAGACGAGTTTTGGCTTCTCAAACGAACAGAGAAAGTAGATAGACCATGATGATTGTGGGCGATAAGCATGTGGCCAAATTATGCTCTTTTTGATATATTAACAAAATTAACTCGTAAAGCTTGGTCGTTTTCAATCATCTTTCCTTTTTGGGTTTGTAAGACGTGGTTTTCAATAGTTCTTTGGAGGCAAATGAGCAAAGATTCTCGCGATTATTTGGAAGATGAGATAGGCATATGCATAGTAGATATTATCCTCGAAGAGTTCCACCCGTTAGTCCATTCCATTAATGTGTTCTCCGGTTGTCTATGCAAAATAGTTGCGGAAGTAAGTACGGGGACAGTCTAGGCGAAGTTATACCAAAAGATGCCCCTCTGACCTCATTTCTCATAATTGAACTGCATGAGAGTGAGTTAATAAGGGTAAATTAAAGTTTTAATTGGCGATATGCAAGTTGGGAATTTCTTCCTTGTCCGACTCCCGATTAAGAGAGTGGGCCATAAGAAAAAAAAGTTTATCAGTCGACTGTGTTTGTACTAACTGTGCTTGTACTGATAGGAGGATGTGTTTATTTTCCCAATTCCAACTCTGGCAACGTGAAAATAAACCAGACGCCATGACGACGTACAGATGTTTAGTAGGTGTGGAGAAAATCGACATTAAAACAAGTTTTAACACGTTAACATCTCCGTGAATCGTCTCACTCGTGCTTAGCTATTTCTGGCCTGTTATTTTAAAATTTATTTATTTCTTAAACACCCCCAATATAAACATGTAATGTATTTCGTTTATAAAAAAAAAAGCAAAAATTAAAATTTTACATTTTAAATGGCTAAGTTTCATCAATAAATAAAAATAGATAAGCATTTTCAAGTAGAATTTTTTAAACAAAACTAATATTTTTAACACAGAAATTGAAATAAATGAGATCATTTAATATAAAGGTTTAAATTTGTATCTACAGTGGATCAAAGTCTATAGATGCCATAAAATTCTTAAGTCTGATCACTTTATCATCAGTCACCAAATCATTTTCTTTAGGTCTCCATTTTCACGTTAACACAGCCAAACAGCAAAAACCTGCGACGGTATACCATGTTCTTCACATAATTGAATACGACCTGTGTTGCCTTATAAAAAATATTAATGGAGGACAACTTGCGATGGATTATAGTTGTGAAGATGTCGATTGTATAAGCTCCTTTTTGAGTAGCGCTTAATGTTCCCATTTCAACAGAGTTGCCAATTTTCTTTTAATGAAACTCCTGGGCTCTGGGCCACACCCTCCTTTCACAATACACAAGTGAACACAGGTTCTAATTCGGTGTTTTTAATATATAAAAAAAGTGCATAATTTGACCCCATGTTTATTACCCAAAATCATCCTAGTCTACTTTTTTTAAATTTTTTTAAATTATTATTTTAATTTTGTTGTTTGAGAAGTTGAAACTCATCTGACAGACCTAAAACAGCAAGGAAAGATGGACTAAAAATGATCGACAACAACCAAATTGTATGACTTATAACAATAATTTTTTTTAATATACAAAAAAGTTCATAATTTGACCATATGGGATAAAAGGATTCTTTAAATTAAAAATAATAATTAATAAAATATATTGTCATTTTATGTGAAAATAAATTGTAATTAAAGATTCAAATTTAACAAACATTTGGTGTCGTATTTACTTTGGTTTAAATGAAATATAAAAGGTGCCTGATCGATAAATGAAATAATTGTAGTCAGGTCTGATCGTAAAAAACCTCTGGGACCTTGTTTTCGGTTTTCCGAATTCAGGGTTGGGCCCAACAAAAAAGAAGAAGAGACACGCTGTATCACAAAATATTGGTTATTGGAGAGTAGGCAGACCAAGATGATTGGAATGACCAAATTGCACTGCCATCAAGTGCATAATTTGACTATATATTTATTGCCCAAAATCATATGTCTGCGTATTTTCTTCGTATTAGACACTTTGAAAATTTTGCCATATCCAATAGTTGGTTATGAGACTAGGCCATGCAACAATATTTCAAAACTCAAATTTAGAAGTGTATTATGAAAATAAATAAACCTTTTATTTTTAAATTTTCACTTCTATAAGAACTACATGATTTGTAGGGATTTTGACACTGACACACGATTAAAGATGGCGAGAAGGCAAAACTCATCTGGCAGTTGAGTGTTTAGCAGTGAGGATAGGCTGACAAAAATGACTGGAAACAGTGAGGCACCTTTAAACTAGAATGTTGTTGTTGCACAAAAAATCTATTCGATGAGCTAAATTTAAAAACATTTTTCTTATAAGAAAATACAACAAATTTATTACTATAAATAAATTTAAAAATATGATTTAATGTGAGGAAACCTAAATATCTGAATGTCACAACAAAGTACCAAGGAAGATAAATTGAAAACATGAATAAAACGCTTTAAGTTGAAAACATATGTTACACAATTATTACATTGATGTAATAAACAAAATCAAGAGAAAAATAATATAAAATAAATGTCTTTATGACAAGTAAAATTCGCATTTGAAGGGGGAGTGTCCAGTAATTTATCTTAACAGAGGGTAAAATATATTTTTCCACTGATAAAATAACTTGGTTAAGCCAACACAGATTGTAAGTGATAATTATTTCAAGATTCTTTATACAAGTGGGAAAAGGGATTGCAACATTTCAGACAGTAATCTTAGGTAAGTCAGTAGTAATACAATCAATAGATAAACAATTACTTGTGTTTTTGTTGGATGGATATATAAGAAATTATTTTTAGTCCATTCAGATGATATAAGTTCATGGTTAAAATTATTAATCCAGAAACACGAAGCATATAAGTGACAATCATCTGCATATATGTGAACTGAAAAGGAAGAAAAGCTGAATTTATGTGCATACGAAATAAAAGAGGACCTAAGATGAACCCATGTGGTAATCCAGAATTAGCAAAACCCCATGTCAGATCTTCTGCTGCTGAAATTGACAACTTATGAATGACTACTCACATATGAAATAAAAGTTTTTACATTTTTGTGATACGAATATGGGCTGAGGTAAATAAACTCTACAAACTCATGATGCAGTTTGGGTTAGAGCTCACAGTAATGAAAGGGCAGATATGTTAGCTAAGCAAGCAACGTGAAAACTTCCCATTAGTTTACTTGACAGCAAATTGGAACATTCATGAGCTTGAGAAAAAAACAGGTCATACCGGTCATGAAAAGAAACCGACAAAAAGGTCTTACCTACAGATTTAATAAAATTGTTCACTACTATTTTTCATGAACATTAGAAAAAATATTATTTTAGAAGAAAGGACAGAATTATATTGTGTGTGGTGTTTAGTAACAGTTCACACAAATTATACACATATCTTTCTTCCGATAACTTTAAAATAGCCTTCAAAAATTTAAAAAAAATTTCACACACTTTTTTCCAAAATTAACGATTCCACACCAGTAACAAATAAGTCTGATGTAATTTACAAAATCAATTGTATAAGCAACTTACATCGGAATTATATCCAAATATCTGGATAAGAGGGTAAAATAACATATTTATGATTGCAAAAAAACTTAAAATAACATTTTTATGATTGCAAAAAACCTAAACAAAATCTTACAGCACTGGCTACCCACCATTTTGAACACCAACACAACTTTGATTTCAACAATCTGAGAATATTATACACAGAACAAAACAAAATAAACATAACTTTTTAGAAATGGTTTACATAAACAGAGATAAACACTGCATCAATTACAGAACAGACACATGTAATCTCAGTTGCAGCTATGCTCATATAATTAATAAAATTCAATATCAACAACGTACATATAACACACAAAATATATACAACATATAAAACGATCATTACACTCCACACATCTAACAATTCTACATAGACTGATTCTTCAACAATTTATCTTTCCTTTCCCTAATAATCCCTGTCTATGATAATCCTGAAAGGTGAAAATTAAGTGTGTAAAGAAGCCGACTCCTTATAGAAAAATAGATTTCTATCCCTACTTCCTTCCGCACTTCCTCAAAGCCCAACATGTGTAAACAAAAACATTAATATCTAACACTTTCAACACAACACACAACAATGACACGTCTACACACAAAACACACACTTTGAGTGAGTACAAATACTTTGATTAAACTTAAAATCTCCAAATTGCATACATCATTGTATAAATTCATTTTCACATCTTACATGAATCTGTATAATTTAAATAACATTTATAAATCCCAGGCGCTGAAGATGATCTCAATAAAGACCCAAACGTTGGCACGATAAAGAAAATGTTTTTCTAAACCACATCAACCAGATCGCATCTCACGATCTCTAGATAGAATTAATTTTCAATAGTTCAAATAACCAATAAGAATAAGTATAGATGTTTTTATTAATTGATATTATTATTTTTTAGGGGATAATACAAACTGTTTGACTTGTAATCAAGCAGAAACTTATGAAAATATCCTTGACAATTTCTGTCGTTCTGAATTTGGTAGGTTTTCAATGAAGTTTCAAAAGTTTCAAGTCGATATCTAATTTTTTATTTATTTTCATTTCAGCAATACGAGCCAAATTCCGTTACATATCTAAACATAAGCTCACATGTAAAAAGCCAAAAGTGTTAAAAGGTAACAATCAAGTCAACAAAAAGTTGAACAAACCCGTATTGACATTGGAATCGAAAGATAAGTGCTGTGAATCTACAGCGAGATCAAACCGCAACACATACCTCATAATGGGTGTCTTTCAGGAGGACAAACTCATTCCGAGATTTATTATGCCATGGAGGAAAAAAAACTCAAAGGTTAGTGTAGAACCTAACCTAGTATTCAGCTGCCAAATCCAAAAACCATTTGTTTAAAAAGATTCTATTTTTACAGCCGTTTAAAAGGGCAGTGCGTATGTTTAAAAAGCTCAACTGCAGTGATCCTAAGCTCGTTTCACAATCTGTGATCAATGATGCATTCCCTAAGAGTTTGGACTCGCACGGACACAAGGGCCAAAAGAAGAACAACTCTTCTTTATCTGCGAAGACGAACAATTCAAGCACGACAAAACTGAAAGGGGTGCGGAAATCTAAAAAGAGAAAATACACTAATTCAACAGGCTAAATTTCTTTTTCAAAATATTTTAATATTTTTTGTTAATTATAATAAAACATTGCTCTGTAACTTGGAAAATTATGTTTTGACATTATCATAAATGATTTTTTTTTTTTAATTAAAAATACTTAAAATCACTTTAAATTGTAATGTGCAATAACCATTGGACCATTATAAGACTTAAACTTTTATTAAACAATTATTTCTTAAAATATATAATCAGAACAACTAATTACTTTTATAATTATTATTGTTTAATAATAATCAAAACTTTTTTGATGTTTGTATTTCCTTGATGTGATGTATAAGGCACTGATTTCCTAGTGGGAATGAATACATTAGTTAATCAACCGTAATTTAAAAAAAATCCATCTATGGAAACATGCCTACCACAGGTAAATTATTTATTGTAAAGACAACACATATTATTTTATGTGTTAATGTTTTATTAATCACTGCATATAAATTGCCTATTTGTGTTTCACAATTCCTAATTATGCTGAAGGATTAGAAGTGTTCTTGACTGATTCATGATAAAATTTCATATTGGTTGTGATCATTCATATTTTTTATAATGAAAATCTTTTTTTTTTTTTTTTTTTTTTTTCAAAAAAACATGTAGCTTACTTTTGAAATCAAATTACTTCTTAGGCCTATTCATTACCATATAATCAAGGGTTTAATGGGGAAAAATGAATAATTACATTTAAATAATCAATTTTTGTCCTAATTTACGAATAAATTACTATAAATCATACTTTATACTGATAATTAGAAAACAAGTAAATGAAAATAATTTAAAGCAAATAATCTTAATAAAATTGTGTAAGTTAAAAGCTAGAATAAACTGGACAAAAAGTGTGTAGGCAATCTTTTCTTTTCCTCAAAGTAATTAAATTGAACAAAGCTTAAGTTACTTTTGTTACTGTTTAAGAATTACTTATATATTCTATGACAAGACTTTTTAGCCATTACAATCATTTCTAAATTAGATTTCAACTCTAGTCAAAATAATGAAAAATAATTTGTAATAATTTTAGACTTTTCCATCTCAAGGACACATTTATAAAAAAAAAATTCATTATTAAATTTGTTTTGATTTTGGTTTACTTATGTAGATTTGATAGGTGTAATATTTTGCTTTATTTCATTATTTTTATATTGCCATTTTATCTGTATGAAACTAAACAAAACTTTAAATTTCAAATTTGACACAAAGAAATTTAGGCTACAAATAGAGGAAAACAATGAAAAACTTTGTATTTGATGAATTAGATAAAAACGAACGGATTGAAATAATATATTAAATAAACACGTAAAATGTATGTTGAAAAATTGACTTTAAATGACTAAAACAGTTATGCACGAATGTACTAAAACCCAATCAACATTGGATCAACTTTCAAAAAATGTGATTATTTTTATTTGGATTTATTATAATTAATTAATATTTTAGGATGTTTATTTTAATATTATAGGTTAGCTTCAAAAATATATCACTACATATTATGTCAGTGACTTGTTGATTATATATATCTTTTATACATATATGCCTATGTACTAATTGAAAAAAAATTGTGGCCATGTAGTTAATACTAGTCAACAATAAAGAACACTTCAGGTGCTTTTCTGTTATAATTCCAATCCCCCACCCTACCTAACCTAAAACATCCCAAACCCTACCTAGTCTAATCCCTAACCCTAAATTTATAAACCCTAAACCACCCAAGTGTGATCTATAATGACCAAATTACAGGCTCATTATAGGCCACAGACCACAAGGAGAAATCGATACAATATAATTTCAATTCGAATGATTGTCTTAAATTTCAATACTTGCATGTAATTAAGTCCCTACTAAAAGGTACAAGTATATTCAAATAAAAAATAAATGTAACAATTTTACTTAAAAAAGTCAACTAATATCACAAACAAAAATTTTATAATTAAAAGTTTATCAATGAATGTTTTTCACAGTCAAATAGTACATTGAACTATTTTACTTACTTACCCAATATTCAAATGTATGTGTTACTTTTTACCCAATATTCAAATGTATGTGATCATTGTAAATGACAACACCAACTAAGTCCTCTACCATTTTCTTCACACTAAGCAATGTTTAATTTCAGCTCAATTCAGTCGAACAATGTTAAAGAAGCAGAAAGCAAAATAGTATACAAGAAGTAAAAATAATATTTTAAACTTCATCACAGTGCATACCACCTGTACAATATGATCTTGAAGATCTAGCGAGGACACTCATCATTGCAAATACATATACAGCAATGTCTGCTGTCCTTATTAAATCGAAATCATGATCCACTACTGCTGTTCCATGAGTGACTAGGATATTTTCAACAGCGTAATTAAATCTGCTCACACAATATTCTAGTTGTTCACTTGCACTCTGATGACGTGAGGATACAATATTAATATTAAGATCATTAACTGTTTGATTAAAACTGGTTTTATGGGCAATACAATGGAGGGAGTGGTATTGTCGCTTAAAAGTAAATAAACAGCAAAAGGAAGCAAAAAGAGAATAATGAAGAGAAAATGTTTTTAAAGGATTAACAAAAAATAGAAATTCTGGTGAAGCTTTTTTCGGTAAAACTGGAGTTTTCTGTTAAAAAATGATGATGATGGTAGAAAATGAATATTAGCACTTCCTTTCTTCAGCATTAGTATTAATTTCATTAATTTAAATGAATTACTGACCTTAAGGGAAGGGAGTGGATATGATAATGCTACTTTCTTGTTCATTTGATTTTTAACTTGTGATAATGATGTTAAATCAAAATTTTTTGAACCGTACTGTACAATTTCTACATTTTGGTTGTTGCAGATCATTCTGGTCTGCCTATTGTTTGTTGGTTTGTCAGAGGTGTTTCTGCATTTTACCACCTTCTGACCAACCCAGAGAATGAGACAGGTCGACTTATCATGCCATAGACTTCGAGAATTCGGTACAATATAATTTCGACATTAAGGTTTCAACTTGAGTGATCAATTGCCCTAAATTTCAATACTTACGTGTAATATGCAGAGGTCATATTTTCTGTTTAAAACTCATTTGTATGCACTTTAAGTATAATTCAGGTCAGCTGAGATTTGAACCTAAGACCCAGTGAAGATGGTGGTAGCCGCTACCACATCACACTTTTTCATGCTCAAAAGGTGATTGTAACAGGTGAACTTCGTTTTCACCCATCCATGTTTTTGAGTGAGTTTTGAGAGAGAAAAACCTACTAAAAGGTACAAGTATATTCAAATAATCAATAAATGTAACAATTTAACTTTAAAAAGTCAACTAATATCACAAACACAAATTTTATATTTAAAAGTTTATCAATTAATGTTTTTAACAGTCGGATGTTCAAGGTAATAACCTCCATTTTGTACTACATTTGACCCAATATTCAAATGTATGTGATCAGTGGTGTAAGTGACGCCACCAACTAAGTCCTCAACTAGTTTCCTCACGCTAATAGTACTGTCCTGACAGATGGCACGAGATATCAAGACCTGCAATACGCAATGTTTAATTTCAGCTTAACTTAATCGAACAATGTAAAATAAGGAGCAGCAGAAAACAAAATAATATACGAAAAGTAAAAATAATATTTTAAACTTTACCTCGTCATCACAGTGCCTAACACCTGTGCAATATGATCTTGAAGCTCTACCAAGGACACTCGTCATTGCAAATATATGTACAGCAATGTCTGCTATCCTTACTAAATCTAAATCATGATCCACTACTGCTGTTCCATGAGTGACTAGGACATTTTCAATAGCGTAATTAAATCTGGTCACGCAATATTCTAGTTGTTCACTTGCACTCTGATGATGAGGATACAATATTAGTAATATGATCATTAAATGTTTGATTGAAGCTGGTTTTATGGGCAAAAATAAACAGCAAAAAAGGAAGCAAAAAGAGAATAATGAAGAGAAAATATTTTTAAAGGAATAACAAAAAATTGAAATTCTGGTGAGGCTTTTTTTTTGTAAAACTGGGGATTTGCGTTCACACATTTTCCCCAGTTCACAAAAAACATTATATCATGGATACATAACCAAGTTTGGCCCTAATATTAACTCTAACATAACCTAACCCACCCCTAATCCTAACTTTAATCTGACCTAACATAACCTAACCCATCTCTAACCCAACCTAATCTAACCCATTCCTTAATCATACTTAACCCACCTCATACCCTAACTAGCATAACCTAACCTTCTCTGACCATACTTAACCTAGCCTAACCCATCTCTACATTATTCCTTAACCATAATTAACCTAACCTAACCTAACCCACCCCATCCTTCCTAACATGGTAACCCATCACTAATCTTAACTTTACACAACTCTAAAACCACCCAAGTCTTAAGTAAACATGGCAAACATAAGCCATATCTTAACCGGTTTCGACTGCGGCAGGACGACAACTGTGACTGCTCAGGAAAAGTTTCCATAAACACAAAGATGGAAAGATATGTTTTATGAATTAACAAGATCATTATTTTTTTTTTCCAATTTGTAAACTCTATTGATTTTAATATCATGAAATAATTGTACTTGGTCTAAAGACTTGCTCAAAAGCTGTTACTTTAAACAAACAAGAAAAAATGTAACAAAATCATTTGAATGGGAGCAGGTTGAAAGCATCTTCTGTCAGGATGTAGTGGACGAAGGGAAAAAGAATGTAACTTTAATCCTATCTAAAATTCCAACCTTATATGACCTAACCATTCGTTAACAATAATTCCACGATTTATAATTTTTATTAATCTACCCTATCCCTAACTCTACTAATCCTAATTCATTCCTTAACAATAATTAAGGAAACCTTACCTGCCCCAAATACTAACTTTAATCCTACCTACCATTCTAACCCATCCCTAACCCTACTTAACTGAACTCACCCCAAACCCTAACATTACCCACCTCTGGTAATGCGAAATTTATTGCAAAAAAAAAAACATTGTCTATCCAGGCCAAAAACCAATCCATGTTAAAAAATAATATGTCAAAAATGTATATTAGCACTTCCTTTCTTCCAGCATTCATTAATTTCATTGTTTTAAAATAAATTACTGACCCTAAGGGAAGGATGTAGATTCATATAAAGCTGCTGATCCAGATTGGGTGTATCCCTGTTGTGTTTATAAGAAGAGATTAATTTTCTGAAAAAAAATCCAGGAAAATTAAATGGATGGCGCATTTTCTGAACAATTGATGCCATTTTTAAACCAGCATATTCTAAACCTATAAAAAAATTAAGATGCATTGTATAAAAAATAAATAAATAAATAAAAAATAAATTAATTTTAAAAAAACTTACCACATAAAGAAATAAACAGTTTAATGATAACAGTCGTATTTACTGACAGCATTACATTGTAAATATCATTCAATTTTTCGGAATAGGCGATTTGTTTGTCATAATTTAACTTCCCTATTAAGTCCAAGCATGTTTTGTATGACTCCAAACATTTTTCGTATGCAAATACCTGAAATATAAATTTGATCCAGTCTCAGAATGTACAGATAATATATTGGGTTGTCCGGAAAATAATGCAGGATTTTGGTATTAAACAAAAAAAAAGAAACTAGTTACTTTAAAGCAATGTTCTTTAATCAAAATAATTTCCCANAATGAGTAATCCTGTAAACGTAAACAGAATATTTTATATAGATTTTTTTTAATGAAAACTTAAAATCCTGCATTATTTTCCGGACAACCCAATAAATAGTCCAAATAAACCTGAATAATAGCTGATTCTAGACGGGTGTCAATTTCATATTGGTCCAATGCTCCAGATAAAAGATACATCATGCTTTCCAGAGTGTAAATTGTTACCCCAACTTTTCCTAATTTTGCTTTAACATTTTCACTGTCTTTTAAGTCTTTTGAAAAAAACTTTCTTGGTTTAACAAGTTCTGTTGTTTCTTGAAAGATATCTTTAAGAGATCCTTTAAAAGCAAAGAAAAAGGTCCATTAAATTTTTAAAAAATATGATAAATAGTAGATAAAAATAATAGGATATGGTATCAGACCTAAAATAGAGGAAGGCAAGAAATGGTTTTGCAATTGTAGTCCAAATGTAGAGATTTCATATCCTTCATCATCACCTCCAAGTAAATTCTCTTGGGTCGCAACAACATTGTGTAATTTTATGTCGCAAATACCACAATCATTAGGACCACTCATTTTAGGTGCAGAAAATGAGAAGGAGTTGCTATCTTTTTCTACAATAAATGCAGCAAGCTTCTTAATATCTTTATGCGATGAATAATTCTATAAAGTGTTTTATAAATAAAATACGAGGTGAAAATTGTAGGAATTGGTTATCTCAGGTAATCTCAATTACCTTAATTTGTGCGAATATGATGAAAAAGTCTGCATTCTTCCCATTTGTAACCCACTTTTTGTTACCATTAATTAGAAAATGATTTTCGTCTTCACAAAAAGTCGCAGTTGTCTCTATTGACAGTGCATCAGTGTCTCTTGATTCGTCGGACAACGCATAAGCACCAGTAATTTCTCCATTTAATAATTTACGGAGATATTTTTGTTTGTGGAAATCTGTTCCATACTTTACAATCGTCTAAAAAATGAAATATTTGTAAATGTAGGACATTCTTGAAGAAAAGAAAAATAGTCTCTTCATCAAGCTTTTGAGGAATATATTCCTTTAATCAAAACAATAAAAATAATAATTTACAAGGTTAATGCACAAACTTTTCCTTTTATAGGCAGTATTTATAGATATATTGTGTCTTTTCAAAAATCCTCTTATCTTTTTTGGAAAGAACATTAAAAATTACAAGTCAAGAATGTACAGTCTTTTCAAAAATCCTCTTATCTTTTTTGGAAAGAACATTAAAAATTACAAATCAAGAATGTACAGTCTTTTTAAAATCCTTTTATAAATATAGTGTATATAAAAATTAACCCAACACAATTAACAATCGATGTTATTTATTAATCCTGTAAGTATCAAGCTGAAATAATTAAAAATAATATATATTATATTATTAATAAGAATAAAATTAATTGGTTACTTCAATTATTAACGAGCGGTGTATGTCCAACAGTAGGGCTTCTGAATGGTTCAATTTAAGAGAATCGCAAGTTTTTGTAATATGAGTTGTCTTAACCTCAAACCCTCCGTAATCTACTGGGGCTTGCAATTTCAGAATTCCAGATTTCACCAGTTCTTCAAACATGGTAGTCTTTTCTTCTGCATTCTCGCTTTTTTCTGAAAATGAAAGGTTTTAATGGGGTTACAAATTAAATAAAACAGAGGCATGTCTCATTGTATCAAGGATCAATAAAACCCAATTCCGAATCCAGAGAGCCTATCCCAGAACTGTTGGAGCATGGCCGACAACCTCTAATCTGAAGCTGGTGAGCCTGGTTAGAAGACTATTCCAGAGCTGGAAAGCTAATTCAACAACCTCTACTCCGAAGCTGGTGAGCTTGGTCGTCAACCTCTACTCCGAAGCTGGTGAGCTTGGTCAACAGACTCTATTCCAAAGCTATTGAGCCTGGTTGACAGTTCTAATTCTGTTGCTGGTGATTTTGGTTGAAAGACTATAACCTGGAGCTGGTGAGGTTGGTCGACAACCTCTATTCTGATGCTGGTGAGTCTGGTTGAAAGACTCTAATCCAAAGCTGGTAAGCCTGGTCAACCAGATTCTATCCCGAAACTGGTGAGTCTATATGAAAGACCTACTCCAGCACTAAGACTCTGCTCACACCGTATCAACTAGTGGGCAAACACTGCAGCTGCCAGGAGAATTCTTTATGGAAACAGACATAACTCCTCAGTCAGGACTTGTCCTCCACCACCCACAATTTCTTTTCACTTGCCACCTGATCTGGTGAATGGCCAATTGTTTTTTGGTTGAAGGATTACAAACAGGCACGCATACTCTTCTACGAGTAGATGCCATTCTATCTATCCAACCTTACCCAAGACCTCAACTGTGGCAATTCCGTATTTAAACCTACTGATATTGAAAGAGAGACCAGATCTTTTTATTCAGTTGTTTATCATAATCAGCATTTTTGCTGTATGTTTAGCATCGATTGAACCATATACTGATACTACGATGAACAGACGTATGTTCAACAACTAACAGATCATCAAGATTAACCTTTATATAGTAAATATAAAACAGAAGGGTTATAGAATCTTATTTTAGCTATTAGGCTGCAACATAAGCATTTAGTTTGAGATTTCTTCTAATAAGAATCAGTGGAGTAAACCTGTATCTTGGTCATTTCCGATCATTTTTGTACCCTGAAGAAGGAATGAGAAAATTTCTGTGAGTCGGGTTTTGCCATTATCAGTGTGTATCTTCAATAGAAAGAATAGCCAATTGCCAATAGACTAAGGACACATAACTTAACACTGAATATGGTGAGAAGCTGAAGCAAGTCTGACATAAGGATAAGAAAATTAAAAATGATCGAAAATATAATGTTACCACTATTGTCAATGTACATGGGATTGTTAAAGTTTCTCAAAAATTGATTGAATTGTAAGAATGTATGCTGTTGGATTTATTTAATACTTAGGACTGTGCCTAGACAGAGATTGACATGGAATCCCCATACTAGACTTAATAGACAACTACTCAACAGAAGACTTGGACAACTACGAAGACTTCTAGGACCAAAATCTGACCGTCAAAACTAAACTAACCTTATACAAGATTTTACTGCGACCACTTTGGGCATAAGGGTAAGGAGTGGAACTGTGAGGTTCTGCCAAGCTACTCAACATCCAGCGCATCCAATCCTTCCAATCAAAAGTCCTCAGACAACTCGTCTAATCTTCTTACTACGTCACAACGACCTGTTCTTTTGCCAACAAACTGATCAGTTGTCGATTCCAAAAGTGTCATACCAACCTCACGATCCATTCTAACACTACTGCTCACGCCCACATTACACATTACAATCCCGAGAACCTGCCTTGATCGACGATGACCTCCTTGCCCCTTAATCCCTCATACTGAGCATCAGCATGGCTTCTCATGGCATGTGTCCTCGTGCAGCGCTGGCATTAATGTTAGTGTTGTGACCGTGTGAAAAAAAAAAGTTTTGTATCACATTTGTAATACGTACTAATATGTATAGCATACAAATAAAAAGGTTAAAAATTAAAAAAAGGGATTTATTTAAAGCAATAAAATATAAATTACCCTTGGTTTCCAGGGTCTGCCTGAGGAAGGAAACCCTCTTTTCAATGTCCTCTATTTCCTCCTTGTTCAAAATTTCCGGATAAATGAGAAAATCCTTGTCAAACTTGCCCAAAAAAACGTTCTTCATGAAAGGTTCTTTTTCCGATTTGGTCTGTACTGTCGGGTGTAGGGATATTTTCTCTATCGCCGGCAAAATGGATGTGCATTTCCTTGCCCTGAATTCCAATTTAAAGAGGCGAAAAGAGGCAGACGAGATGAAACGATTTGTCGAATAAATCATCGTTGATTTTATTTAAGAATTATTTCTTCAAAACAAATGAAAGCGGTAAACGGAATCACAATCGTGAATTGTACCGGGTAAGCACATGCAGTGATAACAAGCAACAACAGACCATCGACTGTAGCTGAAGAAACCTACAGCTTTTCATCCAGACATCAGTCGTGATGTCATAATAGTCCTTCTAGTCAATTTAAATATATTTGTCTTAAATATACCTTTTTAACAAATTACTGACAAATCCTTAAGAAAACTGACCTTCTTTTTCATGCCAGCATGTCAAATTTGCTTATCGGCTAATTACTTTTGTAAATTCACAATTTGGGTTCATGGACATCTGCTATGATCTTAGTAAAACATATCAAATTGGCAAGAGATCTGCAACATTCCACCATTTTCTTGTTACCTAGGGTTCTCGACTAGGACCATTCTTTTTCAAAATGTTTATTAATGGCTATCTGTTTTGAAGTATTAGAGTTTTCCCTATTTACTGATGACCTGCATCTATACAACGGTACACAACATACAAAGGCTGTATTTCTCCAGAAATCTCTATTACTATCGAGAATGACCAGCTCACTGGCTTAGGAAAAGAGTCCGTCGAACTTTAATTGTGCCAGAAATAAACTTATGATTAAAGAACCCTTGCTAAATCCAAAAACATATTGCTAGAGCTAAACTCACTTGACGAGTTATGTAATGTAATGAGATGTAATGCTCACCTTAAGGAAACTACAAGGGCAAGTCTTTGGGTATGCCGAAGACTCTGTGGAGAACTTGGGGGCTAAATCCTAAAATAACCTTACATTCGTTGACACATGATTACTTACGCAATTACATACGGTGGCCAAAATGAGAACAAAGAAAGGCAGATGAGATCCTACAATAAATTAAAAAAATCCATGCCTTATCATCTTCTATTGTAACCACAATGGAACATATACTCAAGCTGCCATGCTTACCTATCCATGGTGGCGATAGAGTAACCGAGAATTCATCATACAGTGGAAAGAATCTAGTGCTAGCCATGCCAAAATTTTTGTCAAAGTTAAAATAACGGAGATGACTAAAACCATCTCTGACTTATCAGAGAAAACACTAGACTTAAAAAAACGCATTCAAAATAGTTATTGAAAAGAGAGCTGATTGGAAAAATAGAGGGAAAGTAGAAAAACTTGGAGCTCTTCTAGATTGAAGCATGCCAATCGTATTATCTTTGAATGCATAGTATCCGATGACCAGAAAAGAATTTCAGCAATTATTGACCGTTAGTCGATATTTATTTAGAAATCCTTATTACAGCAGACCGCATCTCACGATTTCTAAATAAATTTCAGCAATTACAACTAATGACCTATTAAAAAGGATCGAGTCAAGTGCACTGAACTAAGAAACTAGGAAATCACCATAAGGGTGCAGTTCTTGGGGTCAAACCTCCACATTCTACCAGCCTCATCTTCACCATGAAAAAAACAGCATCGGATTGAAGACAGTTCTATATCCAAAAACTTGTTGGGAATGAAAAACAGATTAAAACTTCATTAAAAGGAAGTTGGCTGACACACTGCCAGGTTATAAGTGCTTCTGTAGGATAATGATGTATTTCTGAGATAATTTTAGGACAGAAGATAAAAGAATTAAGAATAAATAACATTAATTTCTCATTGAAAACAATTTAGTGTCAGTTTTTACCAAATTGAAAAAAATTATATATAAGTCAAACGAAAGTGGGCGGCAAGATGGAATGTCTGTAGAGATAGTATGAAAGAAATTAAGCCAGTTGTACATAAGTGGCCAACTGAGGAACTTGAGAGAAAAGAACTTGTGATTCTCACTAGATTGCGAATAGGTCATATCAGGCTAACCCATAATAGGCTTTTAATAGGCAACAACCTTCCAACTTGTCCTCGATGTAGGCGAAGTGGAGAACGCACCATTTTGACAGTAAAACATATTTTGGTCGACTGTCCCACTTTACAACCCTTTAGGCAAAGGCTCAACCTTTCGAGTGATTTACAGGAGTTACTGCGTCCCCAGTGTTTCTTTCGAAGAGCACTTTTCAGTTTTCTCAAATTTATTGGAATTTATAATGAGATTTAGGCCTTTTCCCAAATTGTTATATCATTGNAAGTTTTAATCATAAATGGAGTGAATAAGGTAATAACATACATGACATTAAGTTAAAAAACATTCAATTTATTATTTTAAGCAAAAATAAATAGGTAATAAATTAGAAGAGTTAGAATTTTCTTGTTGTTTCAACATTTATGACCGATAGCTGTACTGGTCAGCACATTTAAATAACAAAACTTATCTAGTATAAACACTATTTTCTTGAAAAATAGCATTAGAGTGATTTATTTATTTGGTCGTAGCTATAATTCACTAATTATTATTTACAGTGATGGCCATCATGTGACACAAATTGAACTTATTTCATGGATCTGAAATAAAAGTATAGTTAATATAAGTTTATTTAACTTTAAATAATCTTGGACATACATACCATGGAGATCAAAAATATATTCACTATCATCGTTCAAATTTTTTTGTTTGGTTATCAATAAGTTCGTCAAAATAGATTTGTTTTAGACTCCTTGTTTCTAAAAATATAATAAAACAAGTAGGTTAATATAAAATAAGTAAAAAATGTACATAAGTCTTAAAGCTGAAATATAAAAAGTAACGATACTGAAACTGAAAATTTGAGTGTTTGACCTTATTTTTAACTACTGATGGTGCTAATCTCACCACAAAACAATCTCACATTTAAATTTGTAAACATAATATGAAAAACAATAAGGCAATTTAACAAAATTAAACCACCTGGCATTTCATTGTGAACCATTTCAGGAAGCTTAACCCAAGGGATAAAAAACAGAAGACATACGATAGCAGCGAACTTGACTATAATTTTAAAAACTGCAACTTTCAATAGGATTTTCGCAATAGCCGACACAACAGTGAAAATTGGTTTTATCGTCGCCAATTGAAAGTCAAATTGCGACATGTCAAAAAATTCGTCTTCTTTAGCCTTGTGATGTTCACCTCGATGCGATTCCCTATACGCTTCCATGTAAGAATCAGACCAGTCTTGACAGTGTGTAAGCCCAAAGTAGCCGACAACTAAGAATGCGGCAACCTTCAGCATCTTCTGAAAGAAAATAATAAATGTAATTGATGTATGTGTACAATATTCCTACTTCATTCTTTATATGATAAACATCAAAATATTTTATTTTTTCAAACATCATTCACAATTTAAAAAAAATTCTTTGTTCAATTGTGCTATCTATTTTTACCATTTAAGCTTATATTTAAAATATTCATTGACATAATGTTGTAATAGTTTCATAAGAAAGAAAAAGTATGTATACAACTTTTTAGATATACATACAACAGATTGTTCGAATTATAAATTAAATCTATGGAAAAACACAAAATTATTCAATTTTTATTAGTTAACCAGTGGTGGAGAATCTATAGTGTTTTTAGTATCATAGTGCTATTTTATATGTTAAGCACATTTTCTTCATTCGCTTGTTAAATGAATTTGCATTTATATCTTTACCATTTGGAAGAGCATGAATTCCATGAGCAATATAGAGGCTCATTTTTGTTAAGGGATCCAATATACATTTTACTACCTGCACTACTATATAAAAAATATTACTTTTACTCAAGCTGTCTATTGAGCTTGCATCCATCCCCCACTTACACACACTACTCAGCATCCCTAGACAGTAATTGATGGGATGGGGCATGAAAACACAATGGCCCATGCAGTTAATTAGTGAAGCTGATTTTGAAAACTCAATATCCTCATATGACAAGTTGGTGGAGCAGGTCATAGAGTTAGTTGTTGGATCCAGTCATGAACACCCAACAACCACATAAAGTTAATTGGTGGAATGGGCCATATTGTTAGTTGATTGAATAGATCATAAAGACCCAACAACCTCATGCAATTAGTTGTAAGAATAGGCCATACAGTTAGTTGATGGATCAGATCGTAAAGACCCAACAACCCCATATTGTTCGTTGGTAAACCCAACATCCACATATGGGTAGTTGGTGGAACTGTTCATACAGTGAGCTGGTCAAACTGGTCTTGAAATCTCAAAATTCCCATGCAAAAAGTTGGTGGAGTGGGTCATAAAGCTAGTTGGTAAAACTCAACATTTCATGCAGCTAGTTGACGAAAAACATTATACCGTGAGTTGGTGGAACTGGTCATGAAAACTCAACATCCCCCCATTCAGTTAGTTGGTAAACGCGACATACTGTTAGTTAGTGGAAGAGGTCATTAGAATCCAACATCCCCATCCACCAATTGGTAGGACGGTCATAAAGACCCAACAACTCCAAACAATTAGTTGCTCGAGTCATGAAAACCCAGCATGAACCCACGTTGGTGGAACCAGCCATAAAAGTCAAACGTTCTCAGACAATTCCAACATTTCCCAGCTCTACCGGTCGCTCACATCGTCCACCATTTTGTTTAGAAAAGGATAATTTTCAAGGTCAAAGCGCTCGTGATTTCTTTATGCATTCATTTTTTTGTAAAATTGTAACGGGTTGAAATTAAGCCTTTGTCGTATTCATCGGTCAGGTACACTTAACTTAATTCATGTCCCACACGATCTTAAACGGTTCGGCCATCTAAGTGGGTCGAAGCTGTCATTCAAATTTATGAACTCAACGAACGGCTCCAGCTTTCACACGTGCTTCCTTATCCGCTAAATTACAGATTCTTTAGTGTTTCCATGTCAAATGCATATTCAACTAGAAACCTTTTCTTATTACTCTGTTTACAGGTTTACTAGATGGCTTCCCAATATACGCTAGGTCGCGGACGATGGAGCCAGAACAAATTTATAATATTTTTTATAAATTAATGTCAAATAAAATTCCAAGGGTGCCGGATTCGAACCCAGAACCGCTAGCGTGGTAAATACGAGCCGGACCTCTATGAAACAAGTGGCAAATTCGAGCCTCAAACGACTCTTCTGGATTTTCACATGCAAAAAAAATATTATATACTTAGAATAAAGATAAATAGTAAGGTAGAAAATAAAGTTCTTAAAAAAAAGAAAAAAAATTGATAATGTAAGAAGATAAAGAAAAATATTATAAATTATTTTAATAGTCTATAAAAATGTATTTCTATTTTTATCCAGTATTGACTGGTATTAATATTGAATGATTTAATGGGCTGTAAATTTATAAAAGTGGTACAAAAACCTCACTGTGCTATTCTATTTTAACATTTAAAATTTTTCTTTGGTCGCCACAAATTTAAATTTTGCAAGAACTCTGTTTTTGTAAAAATCTTCTTGCTATGTGGTCCAAAAATATTATTGGATCTTTGAACTATGTCCCCCCCCTCTTAAAACCATAAAATAAGTTAGAAAATTACACATATGCCACGGACTTACGATAATTTGCGGCTTCTAGTTCGAACTTCTTGATGAGACTGACAATAGAACTAACTTCCCCACTCTATATACATTTGGAATACAAAGAGAAGACATGTAATTAAAATTCACAACACCGATCTTGGTACCACTAAGATCCGACCGTTAGCCTCTTGACCGACTGTAGACGAAATCAATAATCCAAAAAACAAACGGGTGAAAATGTCTCAGCTTCCTTTTCCTTTGAAACAAAAGGGTTTGTTCCGAACAAGAAGACGAATTATCGCGTTGACCCGAAAAATGAATTATTTTCAGTTTTCACCTTTCGAAAATTAGATTTCTCTTTAGCTTTTTTTAAAAGATTCTACGTAATAATTCTTTCTAGGCCAGCAATTAAATATATATTGTCATAAACGTCATAAATGATAGTACAAGTCTATAAACTTATAACAAGGAGATATACACAAAAACCACTAAACACAACAATTGAATATTTTCTTTAGAAAAAAAAAAATTGTACAGCTTTTAACCTTTCTGTTCCCCTCAAAAATTATTTTTTGTATATTTTAGCATCGGCCCGAACAGATTCTTTTAATTAATCAGGCCGGAGAAAAATTACCTGATAGTATCCGGCCTGTATGGCACCATCTTTTGGTACACAGATGTATCTAGAAAACACCAGAAGGTACAGGGGTAGGAGTTTCGATCCTGGAACCAAATACTCAGAACCCATGGGAAAACACACCAGAATCTTCCACTGTCATTTAAGAAACACGTCGGCTCCACCATTATGAAGGCGACACGAGCTTTGATGGTGTGCAGAAGAATAGCGGGGAAAACTGGGGATGTAGACCATGTTGGTAAGACCTATTCTTACACACGGAGCCGTAGACGGCCGATAAAGCAGAACAAGTGACAAAAAGAAAAGAACTCATAAAAATACAGATACTTGAGTGCATCTGTATAACAGGAGCAATGAGAACATGTCCCACAGTTGGTATCAAAAAAAAATACTGGGATTAATCCCCCTACACCACATGATAATGAGGACAGCACAGAAAACCATTATTACTATCATTAAAGGGAAACCTCCAACAGGAATAAAACTAAAATGGAGGAACAAAATAATGAATCCGATACTCATGGCTCCAAGAGACGACATGAACAGGATGTCTGAATTTAATCAAAACTTCCAAATAAACCTAAGTACCAAAAAAGAATGAGAATGAGAGGAAAACACCTCCTTTAAGAATGGCACCATCTTTTGGTACACAGATGGATCTAGAACACAAGAAGGTACAGGGGTAGGAGTATTCGGTCCTGGAACCGAATACTCAGAACCCACGGGAAAACGTACCAGTACATTCAACTTGACTAAAGGGTACAAAAACAAGAACATAGCTGTCATGTCAGATAGTCAAGCAGCCATCAAAGCACTAAGCTCAAATATCATTAGTTCAAAGATGATGTTGAACTGCAAAACCAAATTAAGCTTATTAGGTAGAAAGAAAAAAGGCAGCCTCTGATGGGTCCCAGGACCCATGAGAGTAGGAGACAATGAAAAAGCGTACACCCTTGCAAGAAAATGGGCTGCTATACCGCTGATAGGACCCGAGCCCTTCTGTGGCATAGGAAGCCACTCTATCAATGAGTACCTCAGACAGAAGGGCGAAAAGAAAATGAAGGAACAATGGAATTCACTCATTGGACACAAACAATCCAAGAATCTCCTTACAAATTTCGGAAGGAAAGAAGTGACAGAATGTATCAAAGGAAGCAGGAAAAAACTGCGAATCCTAACAGGATTCTTAACAGGATACTGGAAGCTAAATGGACATTTAAAGAATATTGGAATAATCCAAGACGGCACATGCAGACTCTGCAAGGAAGCAGAGGAACACAACACACCTATTAACAAACTGTGATGCTACACTTGCCCGCAGGAGGAAGTGCTTTGGGATGTTTAATATAACTGTAGAAGAGATTCAACCACTGAAACCGGCCTACTAATCAAGTTCCTTGATGAAAGAAGACTCACCGGTGTGCTTTAGACACAGAACGGGGGATACAATGGCTCTTAAAGGGCGCAGTGCATTACACCCCGACCAATAAATCTACCTCCCTTGGAGGATTCTTGAAGGCAACAGAGTCCTTTTATTGTATACAGTACTGAAAGTCTTGGGTCCCTTAGTGAGTGTTGAGAGCGAAAGTATTTACTAGCGTGAATGTGTAGTGTGAGAGGGCCGTATGTTGAGTGCCCCATTGTCTCTCAATAAGATAGTCATGGTTTGAGTGGGTTTGGATCTAGAAACTGATTTCGTTGGGTGCTGAAATGACCTAGCTGTTGGCAACATCCGAAGCCAACCTCGGCGGCTGAACGTATAAGACCGATGTTACCCTGACTGCCAACTGGCCTGACCCGAAGTGGGTGATTTTCGATGCCTGCCAGTAATTTATTATAAATTACGAAAGCAGGAATTGTCGGTGGTCTGTGAGAAGTGAGTTGCCTAACTCTGTACATGTATGCAGTATATGTGTACACCCCGACCAATACATCTACATCTACATCCGGCCTGTACGTTCTCAACAAGAAAAGGTCCAGAATTAATGTAGAATTTTCTTTCCTTCAAGTTCGAACTAGTTAAACTGGGTTGAAATATTTTTTTAGCGAGAAACTAAGCTGATTTTCGTTTTCTGCAGCATAAAAAAACCCCGGAATACAAATTTTCGGGAAAATCAAAAAATAAAGTTTTTACCTCAAATCATTCGGGAAGTGCTGCCAACAGATAGGTCACAATCCAGCACCCAACGCATGTAGTTCCAAATCCATTCGTACTCCCGTTCATTCTTAAATAAATTCAGTCTTAATTACATACCATATATTCATTCAATTAGGGGGATGGAGTACTCGATATTTTTCCATCACCCTTTGCACATATTATACAACTGACCTTATTGAGGGTCGATGGGTACTCGGTATTCCGCCATAGACCTTCTCACATCACACATTCCCGCTAATAAATACATTCACTCTCAACACATAACTGTTATTACTAAATACAATAGAACAACCCCGTTTCCTCCAAGAATCGGAACAGGGGATCCAAATACTCGCTGACGTGCTCAAACACAATTCTCAAATAGGGTGGCATGTCTGCGCGCTCTCGGTATAGAGCAAAAAAATTGCACCCTTCAATTAGGTGGGACACATCGAGCAAACCAACATATGTGGCTTTACACCAAAAGTAAGTCTCCGTGTGTCAACCTCGCACGACCTATCCTTAACCGAGTGAGGATGAGCCTTCTTCTACGAGTCAGGCTCCGTCTGAGGGCCATCCATGATACGTGGAAAAATATCAAATGCTTGAAGGGTTAAATGACTTACCATTACTTTTCTAATTTTTAATGAAGTAAAATCAAAACATTGTCGAAATTTTCCCAAAGAAGAAGATTAAGCTTTCTAACCATTGTAAAAAAGCTGAATTTTGATAAAAATCCATAGGAGTTATGAGTTACTTTGTGACACCGTACATCGAAGAAAAAAATTTCCCTGGCTCAGGTTATTCAGCCCAACATAAGCATAATCCAGCATAATTTGTATCGAGCAAAATAGGTTAAAATATGTTTTGTTTCTTTGATTTACAACTTTTTTCATTCGCCTTCCTTCCTAAGAATTTCTTTCTCGAAAATCACAAAAATGGTGATAATTTTGAAAAGACTCCACCGATCCACAGGAAGCTTAGAAGCTTATAATTATTTTAATCCATTCTGTTTGCCTACTGACCTAATGGAGAACGAAAGAAAATGTAAACTTACGTTTAATAAATATTTCCCGGCAATTTCCTTAATTTATTAATGTTTTCAAAAATCTTAGAGCCGTCAATTTTGGAGTCGTTCCAAAGTTGTGGTACTCTTCTTCTCGTAGGGGGGGGTCACATTTTTGTACTTGTTCATAAAATAGGGAAAACCTGCTGGCGCACGTTAAAAACATTGATACGCACAAGAAAGTCTGAAAACCATATAAAAAAATTGTGCAAATTACTTTAAAAAATTGTCGTCGGTTCCTATGGTCTATTGGAAAGAATGGTCGTATGCATTATGTAATATTTTTTGATTTAGTACCACAAATATATATATAAAATAAAAGTCACGTCCGTAGCTTTTGCTTGTAAGTTGTAAATCGTAGGTTTAATTTTTCATTGCAGTTGCAAATAAAAGGGCTAGGTTCAAAGGACGTTCTCTGTTCCTTGACAGTCCTTATTTATTTCCCAATTCAAATCCAAAGGTGCCCCGTCCTCCTCGGCGCCGGTTAATCGGAGCGATAAACACATTGGGTGTTAATCGAATTGGGTCTAGGACGTCGAGTATGAAGCGTTAAAATCAATTAACCCCCCCGGGGGGAGGCGGATGTAATTGAAATGAGAGGCAGGTTTTCACCCCGGAGGGCCTTTTTACCTTTGCACATCACCGTGTAAATATTAAAAAATTTGGGTTATGGAAATGGTAGCGGAGTTTACGAACGAGAAGGGGGGATGTTCCCGCGTCAATTGGTCCTCTTGCCTGGGAACCAGTTAGGGCTACCTACAGGAGGATGTAGCGGAGGAAGTACACAAACTACCAATTATCATACAAGAATCGTTTGCAATTAGAATAGTGTGTCTGTTTTGATAAACTGTACGATTCGCCTTTTTCGCTTTCCTGCTTCTTCAGTTCTATATCGATACTGATTGAACCAACATTTAACGTCAACAACACAAGGAAATTCGTGCTGACTGACATCCTCTGATACCAAGACCTTGGCAATAAAAGACTTACTATTAAAACAATATATTACACACTCCTTTTATCTTTATTCTTACGTTCTTACAACCCAAACAATACTCCGAAACGTCCCATGTAAATGTAATATTCGTAATAACATACCGCCCCTTTTGGGAGCTGTGATATCACCCCTTCTTTACCTTTAGCAGACCGGCGTTCTAGTTCATTCAGAAATTTTATTAGCAGGCCCTGTTTCAATTATTGAATTTCTTCTACGGTTTCGTTGTACATCCCAAACG